ATATGGGCAGTTTGAACCCACTGTCGCGATGAGACGTCATGTCCGGAAACAAAACCCTATGGGACTTTCCGAAGCCAAATGACGCTATAGTGAGCACGTTCACTGTTGAAGCTAGAGAGGTGAGCAGAATAAGTCTGATTCCCTGTAAAGACTTCTCTGATGACACCCACCCCTTGGCGCTCATATGACCTTATGCAGTTGCGAGCGCCGTAAAACCCTCTACTATAAAAAAAATCGTTATTACGCGGTTGTGCCTCACTAACACACACACTGATAACCAAAAAAGAAACACAGCAACCAAATACATAGAGAAAGAAAGTGGTTGCTCTAGTGTAGTTTGCTCCAACTTTCTTATCAAACATCTATCTTCCTCATCGCTCCTCCTCCTTTACTTTGAATGCTACTCTCTTGTAACAGCTCTGATCTTCAGCGCTTCTATGAGCAATGTGTGTTGCTGATACTGTACACCTATTACAGCTAAATTGAATACAACACGACAAAAAAACAAACCTACCGCGACAACTGCCAGAAGCACCCCTAGCCCCGCCCCCGCGATGACGTCAGTAGGGTGATGTTTGTTGTCTGTCACCCGGGAGACACAGATGTAGGAGGCGAGGGATAGACAGAGCACTTGGAGGAGGGTCTTAGGGAGGATGCATCTGGGGAATTCTGTAATTTGGTGCTGGAGGTATAACTGTGGATATAGATGACAGAGCACTTGGATGATTTAAGGGAGGAGGAGGGTGGGAGGTACTCGGTGCTAGAGGTATAGCAGTGGGTTATATATGGACAGGGATCATTGTGTGTGTCTTGTTAACTTATTTTTTTGTTTAACCTACAAACAAAACCTTATTTTTCATGAACTTAACCCTATCCGTACTTCGTGCTTTACTATCGTATCCATACGACGTGGGGAACTCTGTACCACCACTTTTCAAAGAGGAAATTTACTTGTTAATACTTTGCATAGTAGTCTGTCAAAATGATTTTTTGAGAAATACTGAAAGTTTCAAAGAGATCATTGTGCTAGAAGTATTCTAAAATGTGAAGAATTCTAACCCGGGGGCACAAAATGACCCCAGGGCGTACGGATATGGTTAAAAGCTAAGCTTATTACAGGGAACCAGATTCATTAAATTACCTTAGTGAACACAATGACTTACAAGAGTGAATGAGAATACTTACTATCGTGATCCTAAATGTTTACAGTTATGAACATAAAGACTTACAATACGTTGCAATAATGACCTAGACACCTCGACTTATCATATTGCACTTAATGACTTATTATTATGATGAACATAATGACTTTATATGAACTGAATGACTTTCTATAGTAAACCAAGATTCTTAATATTATGAACATAAACCCTTACTACAGTGAACCTATATACATGTACTTACTATAGTGAACACCAGGTTGTAGAAGGCGACGGAAGCATGGCCAGAAAGGAAAGATTTTCTGGGAAGTCAAAGAAAAAGAAAAAGATATTCACACTTTGATAAAAGTCTTTCCATGACATTCGTTTTTTTGCTGTTGAGCCAGACCTTCTTCTTCTTCTTCTTCTTCTTCTTCTTCTTCTTCTTCTTCTTCTTCTTCT